AAATTAACTTTCTTAACACATCCTTATTAATATTTTATTGGTGGCTTCGGATCTGGAGAACGGGCTCCTTTATAAGATCGATCAGTACCAATAGAGTTTTTACAAGTAGTGGTAATTCCTTTATATATATTATAATCTGTTAATGCTGAAACACATGTTTTCTAATTGCATTACAAGTAATTTAGTATTATTAACACAGTTCAATTCAGCATCGAATAGCATTTTCACATTATTTTGATCTGCACTTAAAAACCATCTTATTCACCTTCACAAACTTCAACTGAGCCTTTTATTCTACTCGAGTAGTGTTATTTCCTGAATATTTAGAAAATAACGATTTTGTTTTTGCTAAAACAAAACATCCTTTTAATAGGCTCTATGCTACAATTGTTCACAAATAGGTTGAATGAACTGCCTGGATCAACGGTTGATTTTTCTAACATTTCTGCTGTTTTTCCTGATGCAGTCATTCATTCATAAGTTCCTGTTATTAGGATAATAACTAACAAGCAAATGAGAACTAAATTCTTCATTATAAGTATACACAGAAGAATCGTAGTTAATTGGATATTTAAATTAATCAAAAATTAATTTATTATTTATTTATAGATATAATAATAAATTTCATATTAAATGCGCAAGATTTTGTTCTTGATTAAAATTCCATGCTCATTTTATGATTCAATTAACATCATTATTATTTTGATTGTTTAGAATTTTTCGTAAAGTCTCTTTGCCTCAATAATGGCTTGGTGTGATAATTTTCAATCAATAGCTATATTTGAAAATTAGTAGATAATTATTGAATTTAAACAATGTTTAGCCTTTTTGATTTCCTATTTAATTTATTCTATTCATTGTTGCTTGTCTAATAAGTTGTAGATTATGCTATTTATTCATGGTATAAAGACTTAGAATGAGGGTATATATTTATGCATGAAAAAAAACAAATAATTATGGTTAAAGTTAGAGGTATGCTTACTCAGTTTAAAGCTCCACATCAATGAATCAAGTTTTTGAAGATGGTAGTTTTTATTCATTTGATTAGCTAAGCTAAATAATTCTTCACATATCACAAACCCTAACAGTATAATTCAAAAGGAGTTTAATTTTGAGTTTTTCCATTCTCGAAAAAGGCTAGATTCTTCTACAAACTTTCTATAAATACCTCACTGTTATCAGACAAAATGTTTGGCAAAGATTATGCTGCATGTGATCATGCTGGTTTTCCAGCTATATACATTTCCATTTAGGAGGAATTTGATTTCAGTACAGACAAATATACGTTTACATAGGGATAAAGCACATAATATAAAATTGCCAGCATTGGAAAAGAAACATAAAAATTTGAATTCTGTCATAGTAAATGTAACCAATAAAAAAGTAAAAGCTTTGACAGGTGAGTATCCAAATGCATAAGCTGTAGATTAGATGGGACTATACTAATAAATGGGATGAGATTCTTACATTATGCTGCTTTCAAAGAAGGTTTATGATAAGAAAATATGAGGGCTGTGGTTAAATGATATCCTAATGTTAGCATAATAATTAGATGGATGAGATAAATAAAATATATTAGAGAGACCGTGATTACATTTAATTACAATTATGAGGGATAAAACTAAGGTACAAAATGTAGCATCCCTAATATTGGTTAATACCAATTAAGTAACTTAAAACTTCACTTTTTAAAAGAATGAATAATTTAAATATGAATCCCTATGAGCAAGTGATTATATTATTATATATATTTTGGTGAAAATGATATGCAACAAAAGCAAAAATAGACAAGCCAAGATTTTGAGATAATTCACATTTTGAGCTCTAGTTGTCAGTAGTTTGAAAATATCATACTATGCAACTTTGGATAATTTTAACTGTCTCGCATATGCTTTCTATTAAAGCATGAAGCAACAAAGGTATCATCTCAGGCTCTGGAAGAATTAATTTTAAAAATATTTGAATAATTTAAAGTTACTAAGTTAACATTATTGATATTTTGAGAAATCTATATAGTATTCAGTGCATGTTGATTCAGATCAGTTAGCATAAAATTCATAAGGACATTAAAGTAAGAGCTTGAATATTATGAACAACTATTCTATCACAATTTAAATGCTTATTCTTTATTTAATCTATTCTCAGTGCCAAATAGTCATCTCAATCCATGTCAAAAATATCGATGAAGTAAAAACCAAGGTTAATTATCAGATGATTGGTAAGGAGCTAGAAGAAGAGTATATGTATGTAAATTTTTTTGTTTTCTTGATATCTTTATTAAAAAAAGTCCTGCAATTCTTATGAAGAATATTACTTATCTTGGGTTGAATATTCACTTAAGTAAGCCTGCTTATTAGATATGTACCTGTAAGTGGATGTTAATAATGAGTTGTATTTTAACTTATGCATTTATTGATTCGGTCAGGCTGTCTGGGAAAGTATGAGATCATATATTCTTTATCAGAAAATGGATTTGGAAAACAGAGAGCTATCCAAAATGCTACTTTTGTATATATAGACCTGATAAATGCAGATAACCTGATAAAACACACTATA